GTGTTCGGATGATTGATTGGAACATTAGAAGTACCCCCTGATCTAGGAAACAGTTCGGGGAATCCCGGGATAGCACTTGGCGGCTCTCTTCCATTCGCCCAAGCATCCCACATTCCCATGACTCGAAGACGTAAGACCCTGTTCTCTTCAGCCGCTGCGGATTCTGAGGTCGGGATGCCCGAAATTGGGCTATCGTCCGTGATGGGAATTGTTAGCAGAGTCATTTCTGAAGACATTCCGATTCTCCCCTTTGATCTAGTAAAGTATGGATGTGAAGCCAAGTTACCACGGAAAACCAACCACCGTTTCTATAAAACCGGGACTGGGGGTGACAGCAGCAAACGGTTAGTTTGAGACAAATAACAGATAGGTAATCGCACGTTGGGGTGTGATGCACCTATACAATTAAATGGGTTTCTACATGTTTTGCAACGGTTGCATGCTTCATCCCGGCTTTTCTGATTTTTCCCATTTTTCTTCCTTCGATTTCCACTCTCTCTTTTTTTCATCTCTTTTTCTTTCTTTTGCCCTTTTCTCTCATCATTTTTCATTGCCTCTTTTTTTTATCACTCTTTTTTTTCTTTCTTTTGGTTATGGTCGAATCCTATGGAGATTGCCTACGTATCATGACCCTGCATGAATCAGACCGAGCGTAGTCCTGGGAGATTGGGAATTGAGTAAACTAACTCTTTCTTTTTTTTTTTTTAAACTCAGACCATGGAGCTTTAAGGCAAAAGAAAAACATGTTTGATTTTTTTTTGATTTTTTTTCTTTTGGAATTTTCTTAAAAAAAAATGCTTTAAAAGAAGAAAGGGAAATTTTTTTTTTTGGATTTTTGATTTTATTTTTGAAAGAAAGACTTCTAAAAATTCCTTTTCTTTTGATGGAACTTTGGGAATTTCAAAAGTAAAAAAAAAATATTTTTTTGTTTGAATTTTTATTTGTTTTCTCTTTTTCTAAGGAAGAAAGAAAATATTTTTGGATTTTGGATGTAACCTCTTAATTTCGAAAGAGGGACTTTCTAAGAAAAATGTTTTGAATTTCTGAGCTTTTATTTATTTACAAAAGTACTTCTAAAGAAAAGCAAAAATATTTTTTTGGACTTCAATTTTTTCAAAATTTTTTATTGACATTTATGAAAGAAAGACATCTAAGGAGTTTTTTTTTTTTTGGATTTTGTTTCTGAATTTTTTTTTTTTGGGATTTTTTTTGAAAAATACTTCAAAATGAAGGAAACCCGTATCTTGGATTTTGATTTTTATTGATTTTTCTTTTTCGTATGAAAGACATTAGAAAGAAGGAAACCATTTTTGAGTTTAAAAAACTTTTTTTTGTTTTTTTTGCTAAAGAAAGATTTCTAAAGAAGGAACTAAAGGAAAATATTTTTGAATTTTTTGAAAATTGGGGTCAGAACCGATGAGGTTTGCCTACGTATCTCACATCCGGTGAGAATCAGACCCGCGTAGTTCGGTCAGATTTGACAGAACCAACTATTTTTGAAAACAAAACCTTCTTTTTCTTTTCTCAGAAATTCGGCAGAGTTTCGGTATATTTTGGGCGTTGGTTTTTCAAAATGGGTGATTAACTCACTTATCTCTAACACAATTGTTCCCTTTTTTCCAAATTTCTCCCATTATCTATAAGCCGGTCAACATGCAGATCCGCAGCAACTAAATGCACAAGTAGCAAGTAGGATGCATCAGGATGGTCTTTTCATTTCAGGTCACCTGTCCTAGACGGACCCAACCCCTGTGTTGAGTCCCCTAAGTCAAATGCACGTGATGCAAACAAACGTTCCTACTAGGGATCCGGCATGAGGTTGAGTTATACTAAGTTTAAACCCTGGGTATGTGTTCTAGACTCTGTACCCGAGCGGACAACTCGAGTCGAGGAGGGGGCTACGTACCGAGAACCAAAAGGCCATCCGGCTTAGTAACTTGTCCGAGCCTCTTTCCTACTATAAGGTATGACACTAACAGAATAGGGAGTCTCGACCAGCGAGCACATCCCCGAAGATGAGAAGAGAAGGGTTTCGTAGCAGTTATATACAGTTCAGATAATATCAAAGCGGTAAGGCATTTAGCACATTTAGCATGAAACATGTAAGAAAATCAGATAACAGATAAACCAATCATAACAGCTATTTTAAGCTCGAATTCTTAAACCCTGAACCGAACTTCTGGGTTTGTATCCCCAGCAGAGTCACCAGAGCTGTCACACCTCCTTTTTTACACACCACCCCGAAGGATAGTTTATAAGGGAGTTTTTTCACTTTAAGTGACATTATTCGAAATGGGATTATTTATTTATCAAAGTCGCCACTTGGGATAGTTTATTTGGTGTCCCAAGTCACCGGTTTATTTTGAATCCCAAATCGAGGAAAATTCGACTTTCCTTGTGAAGTCTGCGAACCAGAAATTCTGACTAAGGAATTCTGTTAACCTGGGGGAAGGTGTTAGGCACCCCCGGATTCCGTGGTTCTAGCACGGTCGCTTAAACTATCATAATTGGCCTACTATCTGATTTAAATACATGTTTCAACCTATAGTGCAATTTAAAAATATTTACCGCTTTAGATTAATTTTAAGGAAAATTACAACGTTATTAAAATACGTCTCGAATCACGTCACATAAATGCACCTGTGATTTTTGACATATGTTAACATCGTTGAGATTTAGATTTGGGTCACATAAATGTGCACTCGAGTTTAGGGAAGTAGATTATTAAAATGCGCGCCTAAAGCGACTAGCGTGTTGATAACTTTGCGGGAGGCCATGAAAATTCGCTAAATGGCACGTCCCGAATTCTAAGTATTTTAATAGAAGTAACTAAAGAGGGCCACGCAATTTGTGATTTTATTTGGCGCGGCGCACCTCGATTTTATTTTTTAAAGGATATTCGACTAAAGCTTGAAGGGCCATGGGCTATGATGTTATCTAAGATGGCCCTCCTAAAGTTATTCTAAGGGTCTTACTAATTGACTAAAGTCATAAGGATTGGTTTCAAGAGCTAAATGTGGGCTGTGGGTTTAAAGTCTAATTACCAAACACAAGAACACACATATGACACAGTTGGGCCTGAAGGAGAGGCCCAATGCTTTAATACTTGAAGTTACTGAAGCTGACTGCATGCTAGCGCATGATTTGGGCCATGGTAATTAACGGGAGGCCCACCTCAAAGCAGAAAACATTTCGGGGCCTCAGTTGTAAAGCTGTCCAATTTTTTGGGACCATGTATCAACAAACAGGCCCATTTTCAATCACCTGGGCAGCCTCCTATATTATTTACACTTCGAATAACGAGTATATGAAAAACATGAATTTGAATTTTTGTTTATTTGAATGAGTTTCCAATCATAAGCTGCTCATGATCCCCGACGTGAGTTTTCGAAATAGCCCAGGCAACAATGCAAAATGAAATCAATAATGCGAATGAATAGACTTCTGTTAACAATTACTTAGCACTTTAACAAAACAAAATTATACTTTCAAAAATCAGGCCTAATTAGACTCCATCTAATTTCTCTTAATTCCTGGAAACTTATAGCAATTTACAAACACATCCATGATCAGACTATACAACTATGCAGGGTCAAATTCAACACGCTATTAGAAGATTATTCCAGTAAATTAGAATCAAATGTATTTAAAATCTAAAAGTCTACAGTCCAGTTGTACAAATGATAAAATGTCTAGATCATATAATTCTCACATTCCAATGGAGCTTAAATTCAGCACCTAAACAGACATGCTTGCAAGTAGACTAAGGATACACATAAATATGCCGGGCAGCTAAACCAAAATAAAATAACGTGAATAAAATTAACAGGGAAAATGTGTAGCAATTCATCATTTCTTCAAGCTTGGTCACATATTTTCTGATTCAAACTTCACACATCATTTAGAGGCCAAAGAAATACCTGGAGATTAGAACAAAAATAAGAAAATTGGAGGTCAGCTAGGCAGCAGCAGAGTGACAGAATCCAGCAAAACCAAGCAAATCCAGCACAAATTTTAGGAGTAGGATGCAGCAAACCAAGGAATAAGGCTCAAACGAACAGTGAACCTAACTGAATCTAACACCAGACTTTGATGAACCAGTTTAAATCACTTCTCAAATAGATGAATCCCAAATAGTTTCAGAAATTGGAAGGGAATTAGAACTACTGAAAACTTGATGAAAACAGTAGTTTTGGATGGATTTCTAAGCTATTTTTTTTATGTGGATTTTAAGGATTTTTCTTAAGATCTAAAATCTATGTATTTGAGCTCTCAAATTCTGATCTCTTAATCTAGGCTCTCAAATTTTTTGGCTCTCAAAATCTTAAGCTCCGAAAACTGAAGATCTTAAAATTGAAGCTCTGAAAAACTCTCTCAAAAAAACTTTCTCCCAAACTCCCTTGCAAGGCAAGGATACAATGCCTTTTACAGGCAAACAAGTAGGGCAATTTCAGACTTATTTTTACCCCTTAGGTCCTTCTTAATTTTCAGCTTTTTGCTTAAAAGTCCTTAGAATCCTGACTTGCTACCCAAGTTATACTATCTAAATCCTGAAATTCAAATTAAAACCCCAATCTAGAAGCTTCTAGGGGCTTCTATTTTCTGTTACTGCAAGATTCCCTATGTGGTCTACCCAATTTACCCTTTATAACTTTGAAAATTACTTTGAAGACCAAACTGGGTCAGATTGACCCAAGGCAAACCAAGAACTGGGCCCATGACCAATTGGGCTGACCCTTCCTTTCCTAAACGGGTCAGAGATCCCAATACTCACACAAACAATTGGCCCGATTGAAAACTGAGGTACCAGAAGTATGCAAACATGGCAATCATTAGAATTTAAACTAAACAAATTAATTAACTGACTAACTAAATCTGTAAACTCAGCTAATTAATAAGCTAATGATACTACAAAACGTAAGACTAGTCATGAACAATCAAAAACAAAACAAACAAAACAAAAATTCTGGAAAAACTAAAAGAATAAAAAGAAATCCAGGAGAAGAAATAGAGAAAGGAAGAATGAAAGATAGATTGAAGAAAATACCTACTGAGACTTGAACACATGAGGAAGAGAGTATGAATCTTCGTCTTCTAGGATTTTCCGGCCAACTATGATATTAATCATGTGTTCTTAATAAGAACACATGAATAATATCAAAATAAGACTCAAAACTTCAAGACAGATTCGAATCGATGGCTTTGGGAATTAGGGTTTGATTTTGATCCGATATTTGAGGATTTCTGGGGTGGTTTGAGGGAATCTGAGTGAGGATTTGGAGAGAAGGGGTCGAGGAGGCTTTGGGGTGTTAATTTGGTGATGATTGGTGGTGGCGCCGCCGGACACGGCGGAGGAATCCATTGCGGCGCTAGGGTTTCGACGATTCGAGAGTTTTGGGTGGGATTTGAAGGAAACTAAGAGTGGATTGGTGATGGGGAAAGGGAGAGGGGGCTCTGGTATAATTTTGAGGGTCATTGGACGCCAGCCGCCGCCGTAGGCAATTTCTGGCGGGCGGCAGGCGGCGGTGGACGACGGGGTTAGGGTTGGTCTTGTGAGAGGTGAGAGAGACAAAGGGGGAGGGGGTTCTGAGGGGGGTAGGGTCCGTTTGGACATCAATATATTAATGGATCCAGGCTTCTCATCCGTTAGATCATTCAACCTAGACGGTTGAGATCAACTGAGAGCAGACGACGTCGTTTGGGTCATAGGGGTGCTGGANTATATATTAAAACACCCCCACTTCTCGTCCGTTAGATCACTCAACCTAGACGACTAGGATTAATTAGGAACCAAACGACGTCGTTTGGCGCTGGGGGGGGGGGGTGGACCGGACTGGGGTGTAAATTTGGGCCGGGTTTGGGTGTTTTTGAATGGGTTCAAGGGGTTTTTTATTGGGCTGGCAATTAATCCACATAGCTGGCCCAAAAACTTAGATTTTTAACAGGCCCAGCTTTCTCTTCTTTTTTTTTTTATTTCCTTTTCATTTAATTCCTTTTTGTATGTTTTTCTTTTAAAAAAATAAAAACCTGAATTATATCCTAAGGACCTAATTAGACTATTTAACCCTAAATGTTGATTACTACAATTAATCAAAACAAAATAAAAAAAACTAACAAAATTCAAAGTTAAAAGTCAATTTTTGTGATTTTTGTATTTTTGTAAAACTCTAATTACTAATTATTCTAAAAAGATGTAAAATTAAATCCTAAATGCAAATGCAATATTTTTATATTTTTATGAATTATCTAAATTAGACATGCACATACAAATGAAAACACACACAAAAGTTATGCAATTAAATCCTAAAAAATCAATAATTTAAAGAGAAATCCTAAATCTAAGGAGACCGTAGGAGTAATTCATGCGAGGCAAAAATCACGTGCTCACAATGATCATATGGTACCTTGTATGGTACTAGTCTATAAACATCGGGTATTATCGCTCGGCCCATATTTTATCCCAACATGCCAAACTTGGACGAAAATTTATTTTCTTTGACTTGCTTCCCCTCTCACCTTCACTAATTTACTCATTACTTGTTTGAAATAACATAAATAATCTCATTCCCGAACTTACGTCGATTAACTTTCGACTTTAACATATGAAAATGCGGGATGTAACAAGTTGAAGGACAAGACAATGACAATGGGAGCACTTAAAGCAATGATGGAACACCTCAAACTCAAATTTTCAGTAAGGAACAAGTGTCTGAGCTGATGAACCTAATCAAGCAAGCACAACTTGGAAATACAGTAACACCAGGAACTGCAATCAATGCAAATGCAGTAGCTCGTACTATACTTAAATATACTGGAATTTATTTGGCAGCTTTTAACACAAAAACCTGGATCATTGATTCAGGGGCTTCTGAACACATATGTTTTGATTCAAATTGTTTCTTAACTTTAGATCCACTCCCTGTTCCTGTACATATTAGCCTACCTAACTCATTTCAATTATATGTCACACACATAGGTAGTGTTCCTATTCAGTCTGATATGATTCTTGAAAGGGTTCTTTATGTTCCTTCTTTCAAGTATAATTTACTCTCAGTCCATAAGTTGTGTGTGTAGTTTCATTGCTCACTCAATATAATTTATAGTGGATGCATCATGCAGGTCCCTTTAATGAGGAGGGGACCAGTCTTTGGTGAATTAAGAGGAGAATTGTACCTGCTGGAGCCTAGCACACCTAAGATAGATTCTGGTTTTAGTTTAAGTGCCAATGTATTTTCAGTTCCACAAGGAAGTGATTCCATTCTAGTTCCTAGTGAAGTTTCTTGTTCTGTTTCTAATTCCAATACAGATATCTCTAATGTACTCCAATGGCATGCTAGATTGGGGCATCTGCCATTCTCAGTAATGAAAAATCTTCAGTTCATTAATATTCCTTCCAATTTCAATTGTGTGTGTGATATTTGTCCAAAAGCTAGACAAACTAGATTACCTTTTCCCTTGAGACAAATCAGAACTCTTGCAATTTTTTTATCTTATTCATATTGATGTATGGGGACATTCAAAAGTACCACTTACAATATATATATATATATTTCTTGACTATGGTTGATGATTTTAGTAGGGGAACTTGGACTTTTCTTTTAAGTTCCAAAAGCATTGCTTTCACTAACTTACAATCTTTCTTAGTTATGGTGGAGAGACAATTTGCAAGGAAAGTTAAAAGAATCAGATCTGATAATGCAGTGGAATTGAGAAAGGGATCTTTTCAGTCTGATTTCCTTCAGTCTCAAGGCATCTTACATGAGACTTCATGTGTAGCAACTCCCCAGCAGAATGGGGTAGTTGAAAGAAAGCATATGCACCTTTTGGAAGTGGCAAGAGGATTGTATTTTCGGTCACAGGTTCCCATCCAATACTGGGGAGAGTGTGTTTTGACTGCTACATATCTAATCAATAGGTTTCCTTCTAGAGTTCTAAAAGGAAAAACACCTTATGAGATTTTGTTTAAAAAGAGTCCACAGTATGAACAACTCAAGTCTTTTGGATGCTTATGCTATGCCTCTACTCTAGCACAACACGGAAGCAAATTTGATCCCAGAGCACAAGCTTGTGTTTTTCTGGGAGATGCACAGCATCAGAAAGGATACAAATTGCTAGTGTTACATTCTAAGAAGGTCTTTACCTGAAGAGATGTTAAATTACATGAAGCAATTTTTCCCTTTGTTTCTGCTCCTCCAACCTCATTGTCACCTTATCCTTTCTTCCCTCACTCATCTACCACTACTGAAACCACTTCTCAAGATTTCCTATCTCCCAACTCCACCATCAATCATCAGTCACACTCACATGGTCCTCTATATCCAAATACTTCTGAGAATAGCAACCCTATTCCTCTCAATAATCCTAGAACTCATCTATCTGTTGCCAGCCCCCCAATTTCCCCTTTTCATACTCCATTTCCTACCGATTACTCTAGTTCACAGGCTACAATCCCAATACCACCACCTCCTCTAAGAAAATCTAAGAGGAATTCTCAGAAACCTACCTATCTCAATGACTATGTCTGCAATAGCATTGTTTTCTCTGATCTAACCTCATCATGTTTTCATCATGTCTCTCACCCTAATGTGTTTTGTTTTGGAGCCCTTTCTCTCAACAATCAGGCTATTTTCAAATCTATCTCCACAGTTTTTGAGCATACCAACTATACTCAAGCTTCCCAAGATCTTGGATGGAGAAAAGCTATGGAAGCTGAAATTCAAGCTCTTCAACTCAACCACACCTGGGATGTTGTCTCTTTACCCCCAGGCAAGAAGGCATTGCCTTGTAAATGGGTTTACAAGGTCAAGCACAAATCAGATGGGTCAATTGAAAGGTTGAAAGCCAGGTTGATTGTCAGGGGGGACATACAAAGGGAAGGCATTGATTATTTTAAGACTTTTAGTCCAGTGGTCAAGATGACCACTATTAGATGCTTATTGACTGTAGCTGTGAAGAAAGGGTGGGAAGTCTCACAACTGGATGTTAACAATGAATTTCTGCATGGAGATCTATAGGAAGAGGTGTGTATTGAAGAAATCACTCTATGGACTAAAACATGCCTCAAGGCAATGGTATGCTCGTTTAGCAGGTGCTCTAAGCTACAAAGGCTATTCTAGTTCCCTGAATGACTATTCCCTATTCTACAAACACACAACAAGCAGATATCCATCATAGCAGTATATGTTGATGATATTCTTATCACAGGAAATGATGCCACAGAAATACAACAGATTACTCAATTTTTGGATTCTGAATTCAAAGTCAAGAACTTGGGACATATTATTTCTTGGGCATGGAAATACTCAGAGAACAACAAGGGTACATTGTTAGTCAAAGAAAATTTACCTTGGAGATACTGGCTGAGTTTGATTGTAAAGGGCCTACTGTCTCATCTCCTCTTGATCCATACTCCAAATTGCACGCTGAATTAGAACCACCCATAAAGGATCCCACTCTTTATCGACGATTGGTGGGTAAACTTAACTATCTCACCAATACTCGGCCAGATATTTGTTTTGTTGTTCTTTGCCTCAGTGAATTTATGCAAAGGCCTTCTCTTTCACATTTTTCTGCTGGGCTCAGAGTACTTCGATATCTTCGATCAGACTCAGGTCAAGGTATCCTTCTCTCTTCTGCTCCCTCTTTTGATCTCGTCGCTTTTTGCGATGCTGACTGGGCTGCTTATAAAGATTCTCGTCGCTCCGTCAGTGGTTTTTTTATTACTCTGGGAGGTGCCTCCATTTCGTGGAAATCGAAGAAGCAGATCTCCATCTCTTTGTCATCCGCTAAATTTGAGTATCGATCCATGAGACAGGTGACTGCTGAAATCACTTGGCTTGTTCGATTTCTTGCCGATTTATCTGCTCCTCCAACTTTGCTGGTGTTCCTTTGCACTCTGACAGTCATGCGGCGATTCATATCGCCCGCAATCCCGTCTTCCACGAACGAGATAAACATGTAGAGTTGGATTGTCATTTCATTAGACAACAATTTCTTGCTGGATTGATATCACTTTCATTCGTTCCTTCAAAATCCCAAATCGCATATCTCATTACCAAGCCCTTATCTGGAGTTTCTCACACCAACATCATGAGCAAGCTGGAGTTTTTGTCTCTACCCTCCAGCTTGAGGGGGATGATGAATAGAAGCCATCTTCCCAGCCATTTTCACACAGAACTTCACACAGAAAAGAGAAGGAAGAAGAAGAAACATTTCGGACACACACTAGGTTTTTCGGACTTCTCTATGTTGTGTTGAAGTGCCTAAGTATTTTATCAATTGTAGCTCAGCCCTATACGTGGAAGAATCATGGAGGGTCATGATCTTTTATTCTCAACCATCTGATCAATATTTAGACACCTGTACATAAGGAAGTTTCCAAGAAACCAAACTCACGTGCTTCTCACATGAGCACATGGTAAAGAATATTTTATAGTTTTTCTGTTACACAGTAGACAAATAGGAGAAGTACAAGTGTATAGGAATATTCTTTTATTTGTCATTTACAGTAGGATAAATCTGTATATATAGGAATTTACATTATCAATACAAGGTAGAGAAAAAATTTCACAATTCTTTCCTGTTTTCTTTCATATGAAGTATGAATGAGAAATGCATATTCTTTGCCGCTTCTCTCTCTCCCTATATATATATATATATATATATATATATATATATATATATATATATATATATATATATATATATATATATATATATATATACTTTTTTGACTAGCGAATAACAATATATTTCAGTTGACAAACCAATTTTGTATTTTTGCCCAATATGTGTACTACATTCTATTCGGAATGAAGGGAAAGAAGAGTGCATCATGTGAATATTTTTTCCGAATGTCTAATGTTTATAAATTGTTATGTAATATATAGCCTCGTTTGAGGGCCACGACTTCCAAACATTCGTAGGCTCATTAGTCATTTACATGAAAATAATATGTAAATGACTTCTAATTTCATTTTCTTTTTTTTTGGTTGCAAAAATAGGACGTCTTGAAGTCTGGGTCCCGAATTTTAAAAGTTTTGCATATATAAGACTAAGCGGCATAAATTTAGCAAGTTATGCTTCGCCAACCTATTTTTACAAATGGGCGGGCTGGGTTGATTTTGAGCGGATCAAAATTAGTTGAGTCAATAAATGGTTGGGTCATTGATCCGTCCAAAAGTACCTTGGGCTAAGATATGTTGGGTCAAGTTGAGATAAAATTTGGGTCATAGCACAATCCGCCCAACTCTTACCTTACTTTAATTAATGTATATTATTTTCTTATTAATTGTTTAATTATAAAATAAAACTTTTTTTCTTTAGTTATGGTCATAAATAACATATCAAACAGAAAAAATTATTTTTAATATATTTTAGCAAAGTTACGCATGGATCAATTTGAGTTAAAAATCAACCCAACTTTAGAAAGGCTGAAATGGGTTGGATCAAGATGAGTTGAGTTCAACAAATGAGCGGGTCAAATGGGTTTGAGCTCAAATTGCTACCTCTACTAGGTAGGGATGTTCATAAAAATCCGAAAAATCGAACCAAACCGAAAACCAAACCAAACCGACCAAAAAAACCGATACTTTTTGGTTTGGTTTGGTTTGGTTTTGAATTTTAAAAACCGATCAAATTTGGTTTGGTTTTGGTTTTAATAAAAAAAAAACCAAAAAAAACCCGAACCAAACCGACTATAGGAGTAGCTATTTCAAATTTATTATTACACATATATATATATATATATATATGTATATTTTTTTACAAAGTTTCAAAAGTTTTATGGTAAATGTTAATANATTATTACACCTATATATATATATATATGTATATGTATATTTTTATACAAAGTTCAAATATTTTATGGTGAATGCTAATCGATTGCACTTTTAGTACAGTTTTTTACCTTTATATTCTAGTTGATTGGTAGTTTTCTTTTGTCAAGCGTAAGAATCCATTTCATGTAAAAAAAATTATTTTTTTATTGAGTACTTAAACTCACTATTTGATTCAATTGTCATCAATATATTTTAGTAAATAATAGATTTCTCAAAGGGCAATTTATTTGATAGTGTTACGTTGAAAATTTGGTTGCCGGAATGTGTGTTTGGTAGTGTATGTCTTATATTTAAGAAAAAACCAACAAATAACCGAAAAAACAGAAAAACCGACAAAACCCGACACAAACCGAATCGAAAAAAAACCGACTTAATTGGTTTGGTTTGGTTCTAATATTTGAGAAACCGACTTACTTGGTTTGATTTCTTTTTAGGGAAAAACCGATCCAAACCGTACCATGAACACCCCTACTACTAGGGATTAACCAGTACTTAATTTGTCCTAAAAATCTTAATTTCAAAAAAATTCAAGACATTTACGTCCTGAAAATTATATTGAAAAACTAAAATTAAGAACGTTATGGCTAATTCCTAAATAGTAATCCTTTAAAGTGACTATCTGATGTCAGTTCTATGTACTACTAGCAGCTGTTTTTATATTGGGCTTGGACTTGCTGAAAGTAATTGGGCCAGTAGAGGTACAGAATTGTAATTGAACTGTCAAATGAGATGGGCTTTGACTTGTTAAGAATAATTAGGGCTCCATATTCCATTCTCAGCCTCTATAAATTTATCAAAGCTGAGGTACTACAGTATTCTTACTTGTACTCTCTTTGCCGCTGATTATTCCTTTGTAAGTATTTTTTCTATATTTCTATTATATAGAGAATGAAAGTGATGAACTAAGGATTAGTGATGATAATTTTTCAAATGATCCATAAATATATCCTTATTCGCTACGTTCTTTCTGATTCATTCTCTATTTGGATTATTTATTGTTTTTTCCGTTTTTTTTTGTATATTAAAAATTCTGTTTTTTTGCCTTTTATTATTTTGATGCATCGTCAATATTATGTGATGAAATCAGAAAATCTTAGGACACCTTCTGACACAGTACGCCAAATGCTGTGTATGAGAAAGATCTTTTGTTTCTGATATTTGACGATGATTTTTCTTGACTATCTAGCTATTTTTTATTTACTCAGAAATTTTACAAAATCTTTTTCTAGATATTATTGTTTCAAAATAATCGGAGTTATTAGACTTATTTTGCTAATTTTTTATGGGATTTCTTTTTGTAATAGAAAGATTTTTATTTTGCCCTTTTCTAAAGGATAATTAATTGAATTATGAAAGACTAATTGGTTTGGATTTAGATATTTAATTTGTTCATAATGTATAGCTTATACCAATAAAATAATTTTTTTGCAATTTTGTTGAGGAAATTTTGCTTTAAGATAAACAGAAGCTGCAAACATAAGTCATGCAACACTTAATTTTTTACTACTATGACATCTAGTATAATGATATCCAATGGTAGAAAATTAAATGTTGCATAACTTATATTTGTAACTTCTATTTATATATTGCAAGCTACTGTCTATATTTTTGTTAAAATTTCTAAGGGAACTCGCAACCTCTGCTCTTCGAGTGCGCACTGAGTAACTTGCTCACTGTGCAATGATCTCAGGTTGCTTATGTGGGAAACAACAATAACAACAACCCATTGAAATTTTACAAGTAGGGTTTGGGGAGTGTAGTGTATATGCATATCTTTCCTCTACGTATGATTGTAGAGAAGTTATTTTGGAACGACCATCGGCTCAAGAACATAAAAAGATGGAGCAATAGAGAAACAATAGCAACAACAATGTAATAAGACTATGTAAGCAAATAATACAACAGCAAATAATACAACGAATAATGGCAGAGATCGTATGAAATTACAAGAATAGTGCCAATCCTATTAGGTTTTGCAATTGTACCAAATTAGAAAAAAGTATATCTACTTTAGAACAAAAAAGGTAGTATAAAATAGTCAATTATCTTCAGATTTAGGCTTAAAGTGATCCTGTATCTATCTTATGGAGCTAAATTCTGCACTTACATACCAAACTTGTGTAGATTACCGTAGTAAGACTCAATATGTTACCCTTGACCAAAACTCTCGGTAATATTGGTGTAAGGGGTGAGCGTTTCATATTTCGATACGGTATTTAAGAATTGTGGTATGATACCAAGTCTTGAATGAGAAAGTAGTGAATTCTAATTAATTAGAAATTACATAAATATATGAGAAATTCTAATATAATGAATTCTAATTTTGTACTGTCCACTTGCGGAGTTGCAAGTTTGGTAATAGAAAGAAACAAATTCAAGAAGTAATACTAACAAGCAACAAAGCATTTTGAATATAAAAAATAGGCATTGCCAAGATTGAGTAGGGGTTGAATTAGGGAGGAAAGAGAGGATTTAAGATTGGATGGCTCATGGGTTGATCTAGAGTGTATGTGAATCAAGTAGCTTTCGTTCAAACTTGTATTAAGAAATTTACCAAATATTTATGAATATTTGATTGTGAACCTCGTTATTATTGAATATTAACTTATAGAAACCCATAACTCCAAATCTTTAGTTTACCGGATGACCATGGTTTTCTACTAATGATATGGCTTATGGCTGATTTAAAAGAAATTGGGGTTTTGAGGTGTTTGTCATTCTTTGCTATGTTGGCCTTGGTGGTCTGGAAAAAATCTGAGTGAGAATGGAGAGTTTTTTTTGGGGTCCAAAAGAAACTAGTTATATTAAGTTTACGATGTCGTAGTACAAGGAGCTACATTTAAACTAGACACAGGATAACGCTGGCTTTCAAGAGTAAAAGAACTACGGGGACGACCGCGTGGTGGGTCGTGACAAAAAGTGTGGAGGGAGGTGGAGCTAGAACTAGCTGATTCCTTGGGATGGGTTGTACAAAAAGAGGCGCCAGGTTGACGAATGACACATTCAATAGTAGGTACAATGTGTCTAACAAAAAGTATTCCTAACTGATCTTCCTCCAAAATCGTTTGTACTGAAGGCGGCGGAGTTGTGTAAGTAGTGAAGTCTTCAGAGTTGTCCAAAG